ATATATACTCCGGTGGTGGTGAAAGATAAAATCTCCCGAATTCACGAGCTAGGCATACTACATTGCGACACACACACACACACACACACACACACACACTCATATATATTATAAACTCTCTGCGGTCAGTTCCGGTCACTTTGCCTGTACCTACATAATGAGAGGAGCGCAACGTAAACTTTTGCAATGAACCGTATTGGCATACGTACAGGATCGTTGTTACACAAATGTGTTTAAAACTGCTGTCTCTCGCGGTTGTTCATTGTTTCGATGGTTGATAAATGTACACCAGTGGCCGGTTCTCTTGGCGAGTCTCGCGTTTTTTTTTAATTCACGCCACTGCGTGGATATGTGTACCTACCTTTGTACACGTTTCTACGGGCATAGTCGTTGGACAATGCGTCCTTTTACTTCCTTTCGATTCACTGCGCGCGACGACTCTATACCATACGGCGTAACGATCGTTGATTACGATTTTTAACGCATACCCTCGCTTCGCACGAGATGACCGATCTTTCTTTCGCAATAGCTGTCTATACGATGGGTGAAAAATTCGCGGTTCGCGACCTGATTGTTATTTAAAAAAAGGCTGAAATAAACGATTCCCATGCATACACGCTCGCAGGGAATAAAAGTGCTCGAGCTGCGCGAGCGTGACGCTGCAAGTGTTAAACGAACGGTGACTGTCGCTTTCACGAGCTTGAGGCTTTTTTTGTTTTTGTTTTTTTTTGTTTATGGCTGCTGCAACTACTTTTTAGCTAATGGCTTTATCCATCAATCGTGTAAAAAACGTAACAATACATGGGAAACATCGAAATCGCTGAATCATGAAAATGAAAAGTTAACAGCCGCTTCATTTTTTAATTACAAAAGACACGTCTTATCAATGAATTTCGAAAAAATTTAATTCTGTTGAAACACATTGTAATGAGTTTCCATCTTCTTTTTCTCATCCAACGGTACTTTTGAGTTGTATAACAATTATTCGAGCCATTATACAATTGAACGGTATCTAGAGTTTTATAAACATATGTATGGAAATATTCATCATAAATAAATTCTGATGTCCCAGAAGTTTCTATACTCGTATGAGTTTTGAATAAGAAAAAAAAAAAAAAAAAATCTAATAATCACTTTGATGGAATAATTAAAAATTGATATGATTTTAAAAAATCTGTTCACGAGATAACGAATTGAAGCAATATTTATTGGTATGGATTGTCGAAGTCGTTGAGAGTGGTGTAAAAAAACGAAAACTAAATACACCAAACTTTCTTTTTCTCCTCGTTTAGTGTAAAACAGCCTGAATGTGGCAGAGGGGCAGGAAGGGGTAAAAAATATTTCAAAACGAGAACCAAAGAAGAAGAAAAGAAAAAATGTCTCGACGTCGAATCGGTATTGCGCCACTGCTCCTGATCCTAAGTGCGATCGGTAAGAGCAGCGTCTCGGCGGTCGATCACCTGCGAGTCGCCTACCAGTGGAAACAGTTAGACTACGACTGGCCGAGCGAGGAGACGAAAAAACTCTTTCCCGACTACAAGCAGGAAGACAATCTGCCGCTCGGATTGGAGGCTGCGGGTGATCGGCTCTTCATCACCGTGCCCCGCTGGAGGCGTGGGATCGTCGCCAGTCTCAATTACATCAAAATTAATGGTTCGTTCGTTTTAGCATCGCCTTATTCTTCTTTGCTTTGCTCGCGATTGAGTTTTTCCAAACATTCGACTCGAGTTTACGCTTACTTCTTCATCAAGGGGGTTCGTTCAACCGGTTTGCTCGGAAAAAAACTCGCGAATCGAATAAAAACGTCCCTCCCGTTATTATTATCTTTTCCATACGCTCGGAGTCGGGAAATTTATGTATTCGTCGGTGTACTTTCAAACAACTTCAAAGAATCGCATCCGACGTAGCTACAATGAATCTCTCGGTGATGTCACCGGGAGAAGAGAATCATTGTTCGAGATCGTGGTGTGATGACGCGTCGTAAGGTAAAAAATGCCCATCACAGTAACAAGTACGAAAAATCCCAACGCAATGCGATCTTCGGTATTTGAAAGAAATCGGTATCCACGAGTGAAATCAAATGATAAAAGGCAAGCGTTGGCGCAGATTCTCGAACGTCGCCGCCACTGACGCCCTTCCCGTCGTGGGAAGCCCACCAGTACAGCCAAGGTGTGCACCCCGAGATAGTGTCGAGTTTCCGGGTGCGAGCCGATCGGTGCAACCGGCTGTGGGTCCTGGACACGGGCCTCGTCGACATCCTCGGCAACCCCGAGCAGCAGAGTCCACCAGCCCTGCTCGCCTACGACCTGACCAACGACCAGCTGCTCCGCAAACACATCGTCCCCGAGGAACAACGCACGCCGGACTCGCTCTTTGCCAACATCGCCGTTGAGGACTACGACTGCGACGACTCGTACGCCTACCTCGCGGACCTGGGGGGGCCCGGCCTCGTCGTCTACTCGTGGAAACTCCGCAAGTCCTGGCTCGTCAAGCATCACTACTTTCATCCGGATCCATTGGTAGGTTGTTTTTTTTTTTAACAATCATTTCTCAGTATCTTTAATCACCAACCAACAATAATACACGCGCACGGTTTAATTACAAGCTCCGATGGATAGATCAAGCGTCTCGCTCCAGAGTCCTTGAAATTCCTTGTAAGTAGGTTTATCAGATATCGCGATCAATGGCACTCGGTGTACCCTCTCTTTGCTTATTTCTCACACGCGATGAGCATAATAGGCAGGTATATATCCACACACATGAGTGCTCATTGTCCGAACGAAACTGGACAAACTTCCGAATGATTGTCCTCTAAAAAACGCGTGACGTACTTTTTCCTTAGCTCTACGTCGTTCGTTTGATTACAATTTAAGTGTCACTCAACCTTTTATTAATATCTCAGATCTCAATTGCAGGGCTCAGTTGCTTTTTTCAATTCTGTCCTGGAGTCTTGACGATCTCCGGGGCAAATTGAATTTATAATTACCTCATGGAAGCCGATGCTGTGGACGTACATGCTTTCACGGTGTATGTGAACACGTATAGAGTAAAGAATAAAAGGATGCTCGCGAGGTCGATGAGTGACGGGAGATACAAGTGCATCTACTGCTTACTTTTTCTGAGAAACGGCGATCGTTTGTTACAGCTGCATTATATATGTACGCTTACGTAAGATCATTAAACTGTTGTTGTTGTTGCTATTGGTGTATTATACGGATGTCGTGTGCAGTTGCACTGGTTAATTGAAAAATCCAAAGCATTTTTGTAAACAACGCATTGAGATGAGCTGTTTGAGAAAAAAAATATAATTTACATAGTTTCATTAAATTTACCTTCTCAAACTGTAGGGTCTTTATTTGGTCGGAGGATGGAGAAAAATACAAAGAGTATTGCACTTGGAAGGGATTAAAAGGGACACTTACAATTAATTACGCCAAGGGAACACCTAATCAAATCTGCTGCTTACAGATCGTACGTTCAATATATCGATGCATGACTCGATGCTTCGTTCATTATGTACCATCATCGGTTGTATTTCTATTTATAAATACCCTTTAGAAATTAGACTCGCATAAAGTGCATATCTAGAGCAGTAACAACGAGTCACCCTACGATTGGAAATAAAAAGTGATTAATTAATTCTTGTTTCAAAGTATTTTTTTTCTTGAGATATAATATCACGTTACTTCGGCTACACCTGGACAACCAACACCTCGTACCCAAAGGGGGTAAATAGAGCCCGAGGGCAACCCGATCCCAAAAATTGTACGCAATGTTTTATACGATGCAATTGCAGGCAGGTGAATTCAACGTGGCCGGTGTTGTGTTCCACTGGTCGGACGGGATTTTCGGATTAGCCCTGGCTCCCACGAACGATGGCTACAGCACGCTCTACTTCCACCCGCTGACCAGCACTATGGAGTTCTCGGTTGGCACGCGTATCCTGCGCGATCCCGACAGATTGGCCACCTCGGGTAAGCATCTACAGCTGCACAACAATTATACATGTCACTCTCACGTGTGCGGCAAATTATTGAAGACGTGATATATATGCGTGGTTTTTAATGAAATCATGCATATCGCGCTCTCGCTTGGCTTGCTCGATTCTGACCCACTTACTTTGCTGGGTATGTGTGTGGTGTGTACCGGCATAACGCGAGGACGCGGCGAAATACCACTTTTTCTTTTCTCTCAACCATTTACCTTTATTTTTTCACTACACAAGACTATTTATTTATAGCTTGGAAACAAAGTCACCGTTATTTCAATTGCCCTGTACAAATTGTAAAATAAGGTTATTACTTGATCACAGCGTAAGGTGGAATTTAAAAAAAATGCCCAACCGATTTTTACACTTGATGAATAAAAGATATGCACCATACTGAGCGCATACTTTTTCTGCATCAACAGAAGCCTTCCATCAGTTCCAAGTGCTCGGATCGCGCGGCACCAATGGCCAAAGCAGTGCCAGCTTCCTCGATCCCGAGACCGGCATTCTCATCTACGCCCTGACGAACCTCAACGCGATCGCATGCTGGCGCACCGGCACCAACTACACCCTGCAACAGCAGGGCCGCGTTTACATGGACAACGTCACGATGATCTTTCCCAACGATGTCAAGGTATACACACACTCGTTTGTTACACTACGATCCCCAAAACTCGCCGATATACATCCGATACTTTCAGATCGACCGCAGCGGCCGGATTTGGGTGCTCTCGGATCGGTTGCCGACCTTCATGTACCATCACCTCGACCCGAATGATTACAATTTCCGCGTCCTCACAGGGACGGTGCGCGAGGCGGTCCAAGGTACGGTGTGCTCGATCGGCATGTCCGACGGGGCTGCGTCCAAGGACGAGGACACCAGACCCAACCGATTGCCGTCGAGCAAAGGCGCCGCGGCAGAGTCCACCTTTCGTGTCTTGGGTAGCACTGTATCGGCACTCGTGCTTGGCGGGCTCGCGCTGGCCATGTTCCAGCTGCGAGCGTGAGCTGGAGCGCGTCGTCCCGTACGTCGTCGGGCTTGTGCCGATTTTCAATTTTTTCGCGCGTCATTGGGAACGCGTGCGAAGAATGTGAATTGTGTTCTCTGCTTTTTTTTCTTTATCAATTTAGAAAATCATCCCACGGAGCTTTTAAGTCGGTGAAAATATATGTATTGACTTTCGTCAATTGTACGAGAATATTCAGCGTATAAATTAATAGCATAGTATTTCGAGGGAGTGTAAATGTGACGAGCGTACGAGATTTATGCAAAATTTGTGCATTTAAGGTATAATTTATTCATTTTTTACTTTTGTGATGTACTTTAGGAAGAATTGTGTTTACCAATATTTAATTCACAATGTATTATTACTCCATCAAACGCTTTGCAGTCATTACTTTGTGTCTACACGTAATCACAAATACGTAAAACGTATAAAAAACAAAATTTAATCCATCCATATAATGTGTCATTTTTGCTTCGCAAACAGTGGATTTTGCTGAAACTCCAAATACTTAATTTATAAGTAGTAATGTTAAATCCACCTTGTAAATGCTGGGTGAAATTTTTTTTTGTTTCATCAATTTCTAATTTGTAGTGATTATTTTTATAAACGTTTGTTGAAAATATATGTGCTGTTTCTATCGAAATGCTACAGTAAATAAAAAAAAAAAAAGAAACATGGATACAAAAACAACTGTTGTGCGCCGTTTATTTCTTAGATAACTTTCGCTTGGTCGTAGAACCAATCGCTTCCAAGAGAGCAGCCGAGTGAAAGACGCAGTCAATCAACGTCAACTTTGGCGTCAAAGTCTGATAAAAAAAAGAGCACTAGTTCCGATAAACCGCGCTAAAAATGACGCATAGATGCCCCCGAAATTTTACACTCACTGCCCTTGTAGAGGAAAAAAGTGCCATCGCAACACACGCCCGTATCATCACCACACACTATGGCGCAGTGCCGTGCACGGGAGGAGATAAGCAAGTCGCCAACAAGAGACCGAATTGATAAGAAGCGATTGGGCTCATAAACGCTTATGGGCCGTATAGGGTGGGAGTAGTGCGCGTATATGCGTGATATTATTGCACGATGAGATGAGGTCTCAGCATCAGCGCTCTCCCGTCAGTTGAATCTCAGCTCAAAGCCGGGACGCGTCGCATTTTTTTTGCCAGTGGTTTGACTACTTTTTCCAACGGACCTTTTTTTTTTTTTTTATTTGTTTTTTGACTGCAATCGCTCTCGCGGATGTTTTCTCGTTTTGAAAAAAGGAGGATTTTTTTAAAGCAGTACTTGGCGATTGCTACGGCAAGGAGATCTTGCGAGCATCGAATTTAGTCTAAGTGAGTACAAGAATTATACACTTTACGAGCTGATTCAACATTTTACATCTTTTATCGCCCCATGATTGTGTTCGATGAGATTTTTCGCGCTCATCGAAAGTTACACTTATAAATGTTAAACATTTATATCATTATTTTCTTTTTTTTCCTGTTTGACGGCTTATCGAGCTCGTTTGCTGAACGAAAGCTGTTTGACAAATATAAGTATGCGCAAATGCAAGCAGAAACAAATACAAACAATCTTCTTTATTTGGAGATAAAAAGTATTATAAATTGTGGAAAGTACATACATGTCACCAGTATATTATCTCCAACATTAAGTAAACTGAACAAAAATCGAAAAAACTTTTGTTTAGTAACTATCCCAATGGTACAGATACGTGAATTACCTAGAGTTCGATTTAACAAGTCGATTCTCGATTACTAAAAAATACTGTACGTCAAAGAATACGAACTCTTTCATAATCATATTGTACTGCACCAACATTTTACCTGTAAAAATGGATCGCATTACATAAAACGCACGGATCAAAGTACGAGTCGTCTTACCTTGTAAACACCTTGTTCTGTCTCTCTTTTTCGACCTTCCTCAAACAAAAAAAACTCAAAAAATTTTTTCTCGATTCATTTTTTCGTCATTCAATCCATAAAATTTTTTTACTGTAGCGGAATAAACTTGTGGTTTTCGAAGTATTATTAATCCAATCAAGGACTTTGGAAATGAAATATTGATCTCGAATCCACCAACACTAGCTTCTTCAGGTACGAGGATAATTTATGCGCTATTGACATAAAACTGGTTTGTTTTTAATCGGTGCATCATCAAAGCAATCATGATAACGCGAGAGAGTAATAAAATTTATCAAAACCCAAAAAAAAAGAAGCATTTAAACTTTTTTTTTGCTCGAGCCTGTACAGATAACATGTTATAAAAAAAAAAATAATAATTTCATGTACAAGTCCGAAACTACGAATAAAATGGGCAAACTAAAGAGTACAGTGCCGGGCTTGGCATACCCGTCCGGCAGAGACAATCTCCTGAAAACGACCTTTCAGTTCTTGGAGGGCAGACGCAAGGACGATGGCGCGGAGGGCCTCTGGAGAATTCAAGACAATCTCTACGACTTGGAAGACTTCGTAAAAAAACATCCTGGTGGAGCTGAGTGGATATCGATGACCAAAGGCACCGACATCACGGAGGCCTTCGAGGTTTTTATTTATTTATTCATGCATTTTTTTTAACCTTACAACTGCTGTTAGATATTTACAAGCCCGTATAGGTGTGTCAAATTATATTACTCACATACTCATTTTCAATAAATGTAAGACTAAGGGAAGAGTTAGTTAATGTGCCATTAAATTTTTTTTTATTCAGTCAAGCGATAACTGTCACATTTTCAGGTTCATCACTTGTCGGAAAAACCTGAGCGACTTTTGCCAAAATTTTTCGTTCGCAAAGCAGTGGCGCCCAGAATGATGGCCTACACCTTTGATCCAAATGGCTTTTACAAGAAATTCAAAGAAAGAGCTCGCGAGGCCCTGAAAAACGTGGACTACCACAACCCCAGTGTCAAATCCAAACTGATAGCCGATGGAATAGCGACACTCACGATAGCCTCGGTCATTGCATGTGCCATATTCAAATCGTGGGTTGTGCTCGTCATTTGCGGTAAATCAAACAAGTCAACTGATTGAAAAAAAAAAATCAAAAAAAGATCTCAAGGTAATTTCCCAACGGTCATCTGCTTGCGTCACGATTTCTTAAAAAAAAAAAAAAAAAAAACAAATAAATTATTCGTCTCAGCCCTCCTGCTCACGTGGCTGTCGATAATAGCCCACAACTTTTTCCACATGCGTGACAATTTTCGGATGTACTACTTCGATCTGAGCCTCATGTCGTCCAAGGACTGGCGAATATCCCACGTGCTGAGCCATCACTTGTACCCAAACACACTATGGGACATGGAGATCTACATATTCGAGCCTTTCCAAAACTGGTTGCCAGGAACTAACAAGTCCGCGCTGTACATTATATGGGCCTTTTTGTTCAATCCTATCGCCATGTTGGTCGCTTGTTTCCTCCAAGGATTAAAACGGTACAGCGTTTGTTCTCTGATGCCACTCGTTTGGGGATTTGGGAAAGAATTAATAGTAAGTGTTTCCGCAATCAGGTACTACTCGCTGTTGGTGGAGTGGAAGAAGGTGGAATTCCGGGACGTCGTACCATTTGCCTTGCCCGTACTGATGAGCTTCTTCGCCTCGTCGCCGTGGGAGGCTGTCAAACTGTGGCTGTGCATCCTGAGTTTGAGTAGTTTTATATTTCACTTTATCGGACTGACGGCTGCTCACCATCACCCCGATATCTTCCACGACGGTGACATTTGTCGGTTGGTGCCATTTATTTTTCGAGAACATAAACCTTGAAAAAAAAAAAAAAAAAATGTTTACGATTCAAGGCAAGATCCCGACTGGGGCCTCATGGAGTTGGACGCTGTGCGCGACCGCTACGTCATCGATGACTCGACTTTCCTCGCCCTGACGAACTTTGGTCTACACGGTCTGCACCACCTGTTGCCCACTGTGGACCATGACTACCTCGAGCTCTGCCAGCAGGCCTTTCGGGACACTTGTCGTGAATTCGGGGTCGACATCAAGCAGTTCAGCTCATGGGAGTTGATCAAGGGCCAGTACCAGCAGTTGGCTCGCAATCAAATCAAGGCCAATCACAGGGGCGGCTTCCACATCAAGGAAAAATGTAACTGAAGCCGGGGAAGATGATGTACGACTTCAGTGTCTTGGGTAAACTCAAATGCCGATGTTTTGTTGTAAATGAATAAAATAAGAAAAAATAATAATAAAGGCAAAAAGGCATGTTGGGTAAAATGATTGAAATTTTTCTTTTTCTTTTTTTTTTTTTTCAAGTTCTTAATTTTAT